ACACACACACGCGCGCGCGCGCGCGCACACACATATACACACACACACACACACACACACACACACACGCGCGCGCATACATACCGGACACAGACACACGCACACAGCCACTCCTTACACCTTTAATCTATACCCACTCAGCAAATTCAATGATATAGCCCGCCGCCCACAAACCTGCTGCAAACAAATCTTCTCAACAGTCAAGGCTTATCATCAGAAAGTCTAAACATTTACTGCACTACCCAGGCAACTGTTGGCAATGACTTGTCGTTGTAAAGAAACAAAACAAAACAAAACAACCGCCGCAAAACCAACACAAGACTCGATCTGGACGAGCTATGTGTGGGAGGGTCGAGTCTTTGTTTGCTCATGTTATTCCGCCAGTCTTGTCAAACAAACCCATCCGAGGCTTTCACACATATAATAATATAAGGAGTGCTGACAAAATGAGTTAATTCTTGATCGGATTTTAGCCTTATGGACACAGATAGATACGTCAAATTTATAGGTTTCGTTTGTATGCTTTATTATATGAAATGATTAAAGACATGCTTCGAAGAAAATGGCGTCAGTTGAACATCTCCGTTCGTGGATTGCGAGAAAGAACTAATATATTGGCCCAACTGGTTTTGAGCAAAGATAACGTGTTTTTTTTTTTGTTGCTTGTTCGTGAAATTGTTCTGTATTTGTGTAATATTGTGTATTTCTGTATGTATGCATTTCTAATTATCTGTGTTTAGGTGTTTGCCATTGTAACCCAAATTTCCCCCACGCGGATCAATTAAATGTAATTTATTATAAACATTTTTAAAGCATTAGAAAACTTCAATGGACCAACCAGATAATTTTTTAAAAAATTCTATTTTTCTTGTTGCGTTCCTCAGAAAGTCGAACTTTCTTCTCCACAAGTAAGTCCTCCGATAACTCAGCTAAGTTCTGTGCTATGTAAGGTGAAAGAAACGCTGTACTGAGTATGAGATACATGTTTCCAAACTCTTAGTTTAGTTTTAGTAAGGTTTTACGGCGCTCGCAACTGCATAAGGTCATATAAGCGCCAAGGGGTGGATGTCAACAGAGAAGTCTAAACGGGGAACAAGCCCTTACTCTGCTTACTTCTCTAGCCTCAACAGTACAAAGTCTGCTTCGACTGTCAAGGCACCCCGGCAATACCATTTCACAAGGGAGTGGCAAACATACAAAAGAATTAGAGAGAAAATGACGAAAGTAAGGATGAAGACAGAAAAAAACGCAGTTCCCCCTATGTTGTTCCGGTACAGCATGAGCTTGCCATTGGTTAATCAGCCCATTTACAATTCTACTGTGCGTGTTAATATCCCCCCTTTGGGAATGGCCTAAAGACACTTCAGTCAGTAGTAGCACTGTCCTGTTGGGGAGAGGGAGAGTGTTCCAAATTCTGAATTTCCATCTTCTCCACCTTCTTGAAATGGGACTTATCCGTTATTTTTCTTTCATTGGAGTCTTAATTTATTTAAAGCCTTTTAGAACGTAGCTTAGATATCTGTGATAGAGTAGGAAGGTGTCACTGGTGTGTCCAACGTCTTTTCTCCCTTCTGTTGCCTCTATCTTTATTGCATACTATTTTCCTTAGCACTAAATTGGCCCTTTATAATGTCGATGTGCTTTTCTTAGCTCAAACCTGTACATACATACGAATGTACGGAATGTTAGCGAAAGATAAGGGACAATATGAGAATTAAATGATGAAGTGACAATTTTAAAATATGGATAAAATAAATAGATATATAGTTCTTAGTTGCAGATCCATGAATAAAGTTTTTTTTTTCTTTTCTTGCTAAAAAAAGAGTATCTATCACGCTTTACTTGCAGTTTTTCGCTAGATAAAGGACAAAATGAATTTCTTCAGGCAACAGGTGTCCTGTGCTGGAATGTTTGCACAATCGCGCTTGTGTCCATCTGGGGAAACCCCGAGACATTTGACGTATTACATAAGTGCACGGTGCTATTTTTGGAGCATTGGGTAATCATTGACGTGTATCAAGAGTCCACAAACGTAAAAACTAGGCCTCTCTGTGTATGTATGTGTGAACGTGTGTGTGTGTGTGTGTGTGTGTGTGTGTGTGTGTGGGTGTGTGTGTGTTTATGTGTGTGTGTGTTTATGTGTGTGTGTGTGTGTGTGAACGTATGTGTGTGTGCGTGTGTTTGTGTGAGTGTGT